GAGAAATACACAATTAGTTTCTCCCAAAACTCTGTCAACATTCTCATCAGCTGATCAATACATATCTTTATGTGCGCTTCTGTTCAAAGATATATTATTTAGCATAGTTAATTATCATTGAAGTCACAACCAATAATTCACATCTGATCAAAGCTCCTTCACACATGGCCTTTCTCTCTGAGACATATTGCAGCCTTCTTGCGTGTGGGAACTGTACAGAGCAGGTGAGCACTGGGTTTAAGATAATTTCAAAGAGTGAAATGAACTCTTCAAATGTGAAACTTTTGCAAAGTGTGAGAAGATGTGGTATCAAACAGACCATGAAAAGAGCACTTTATAAGACCTGGAACAAAAAGGCAAGTATTAATTTGCTCAACATCAGCTGGGAATTACTAACACTGAGTAATTCAAATTTCTTGCCATTTTGTGTGTGCGTGTGTGTTCTCCAAACCTTGAAATTGTCACAGGTATTGAGTTTGAAGTTATAGATGTGTGTCAGTGAGTTGGCAAATTTGCAAGTAGAATCCACAAAAGCTAAGGACCAACTGTCACGTCTGTGTCCTGAAGCAGTTCCCTTAAACCCAAACTTCAGGTCATTCTTCTAGGTGAAACCTTCACGTGACTCTACAGCACTGCTAGGGTTTAGCTTGGACTCCTAACCATGGCTGCCTCCTGCCTCTTCACTGTCAGCTCTTATGAATCCCTTCTTTATGCTTTTGTGTCATACTGAAGGTTTTCCAATTTTTACATTTAATTCAGTCTATTCTTTCCCACTTTTGGGCTTTTGCAGATCTCTTCTCTCTTCCTCTTTTCCTCTTCCTTTCTCAACTTTCTTGTTTTCACTTTCAGATCTCAACTTGCTACATCTCCCCAAGGTTTTCTCTGACTTCATGGAATAGATCACCTGCTCCGTATGCTCACCAGCATGCTTATCTCAAGTCATAACAATTTTTGCACTTTAAAAAGGACCCATTTCACTCTCTTAGAAAACTAGACCTTGAACAGGCACCAAGTTTACCTTTTTAATGGTTCATAATTTTCTGTACAGTAAACATGGTGCCCAGGACACAATAAACATGCAACACAAGTGTATCGAATGAAGTAATATTTGCTCATTGTGGGGTCAATTTCATTAAAAGAACTACAGTATAATCATTTTGAAAAAAAGAAGATATTTTATCTGTGAGTCTCAATTGCCAGGTTCAATGCCTACGAATAGTACATATTTGAAAAATACCTGTTGAATGAAAACACTAGTTTTCTGTTTGTTTATTTGTTCTGTTTTTGTGAGATAGGGTTTTGCTATGCAGTTTGGGTTGACCTTGAACTCACTTTGTTCAAGCTCAGGCTGGTCTTGAATTAGCAATGATCTTCTTGCTTCAGCCTCTTGAGTGCTGGGATTACAGGTGTGAACCATGATCCTCAGAAGACACTGGTTTTAATGTGTCAAATGGTAAATAATTTTAATTTTAGGAAAAATTGTGTTTAATTGTGTTTTGTTTTTTCTGCACAAGTTAAGAAATTTTATTATAATCACCAGTGCGTATTACTTGTAAGAAACAGTGTTTCACTGTGACATTTTCAAAAAATTCAATGTGCTTTGATCATATCCACTCTCTGAGCCATCAAGATTCTCATGAAAAATTTTGCAAAATAAAAAGAATTTTAAGATAGCGTCAAACTGCTTCCATAAAACAGATTGGAAATATTTCCTGCTACTCTCTAGGCTCTGAGCAGAAAAGCACCAGATATTCCCCTCACTGTTCACACACACCTCAAAGGCAACCCTACCCTTCTTCAAAGCACAGTCAATGAGTTAGAATAACTCAGCAGTTACCAGATGAAAACCTTGCTTTATTTAAAAAGCAAAAAAGAAAGAAAAGAGGACATGAAAGGTGAACAGGCTGGCCAGTTCTCTATAATTGTGTGCTATTTTCCCATTGTGTTTTTTAAAAAGTTAAGTTTCAAAGGACAGCTTTTTAATGTGTCACGTTCTGAGGCAGCACTGCAAATAAACATTACTGGAGGACCCAGATTCTTGCCAGCCCTTGCTGATATGAGGAGCCGTGGACCAGCGAATGACTTCAGGCCATTGTGAAAAGGAACTCAGGCGGAGGCTGCTCTGTTTTCCCAGCAGGGGATCACTGTGCCCACAGCTGGGGGAAGGAAATGAAGGGTACCTGCCTGGGGACTTGAGAGTGAAATTGATTGCACACATTTAAATTGATAGGCTTAAGATTTTTTTCCTGACACCGAAACCTCTGTGTTCTGCATTGAGGAATTTAAGAATGAGTACTTGGAGGTGGACTCTGAGAAGAACCATGACCTCTCTGTCATCCTCCCAAACAGTTGCCAGCCTGGATGTGGACCAGGAAGCTTCTCACACCATTGGGATGACTCTAAGTTCACAGCCCAAGGTGGTGCTGAGTCCTTGCTGTGTGGCTTGGCAACCTCGCTTGCTCTTTGCTGCAGAGATCGCTTCTTCCAGAGGGAGCACATCTGGAGGGCTGCATAATCTTGGCTCAGGCCCCATTTGTTTATTGGTCAGCTGGAGAAGTAATAGAAAAATGTGCCTTGGGAAAATATAGAGGGTTAAGCAACCTTGTACTTAACCCTCAATAGCCGAAGGGAATAGTTCTCACAGCGTGGCCCAGTGTGAACCAGCAGCATCAGCACTACCCAGGAATGTGTGAGACACGCTCAGTTTAGGGCCCAGGCCAATGCCAGGCTAACGAATCAGGAACTCTGGAGCTGGTGCTCAGCCATCTGTGTCTTAAGAAGGACTATAGGTGGTTCTTGGCACACCAGGGTTTGAAAGCTACACTACTGAGAGAACATGAAGAGATTGTTTACTAAATAATAATAATTAATAACATTATAACAACTCAAGATCAGCTGGCACTCGTGCTGACAAAGGTGAGGAAGACTAGATGATCATAGTGTTTAAAGTTTGGCAATGTCTAAATTGTCATCACTATCAGTATTAAGAAAGGCAAATGTGTTTTAGCTATTGTCATAAAATTTCTGCGTCAGTCACAATGTCTCAGTGACTTACAATAGTAGACTTTTTTTCTTCCTACATCTGCAAAGTGTAGTTGATCTTGGCTGGGCACCCTCTGTGCCTGGGTGCTTCCCAGTCTAATTTGGAATTCTCTGGGTGACTTGACCTTGTTCCATATGTCTGTCATCCTTCTTTTGGGTACCTAGCTAGCCCAGGGATGTCTTTGTTATGGCAGTGCCAGAAAGAAGAGGTATAAGCAAAAACACGCAAAGCCTCTTGCAGTGGAACATCTGTAGTTCCCTCTTATTCCATCACCAGACTATGTCATGTATCTGAGCCCAAGGGGAGAACCTGACAGGCTTCTGTTGCCAGAGGAACTATAAAGTCACAAAGGGTACAAGACAGAGATGTGTGAGGGACTGGAACAATTCATGCAAGCAACCTCAGTTAGAGATGGACAACTTTCTCTTTAAATTTGTCAGCAGCATGTGTATAGTAAACCTCAAAGTAAATTTGGCTTGGTGGGGCGGGGCGGGGGGGAGGAACCTTTCTTCAAAAACAATGAACAATACTGATTTTACTTACTTTGTTTAGATCAACTATGTGATTCTTAATAAAAACAAGTTACATCAGATGAACCATGTAAAAAGTTCACAGTAGAATAAAAGATTAAGTTTTTGTTTGCTATGTTTTGCTTTTTGGGGTTTCAACCCAAGGCTTTCACACTGAGTTTCATCTCCTGCCCTTTTGTTCTTTATTTTGAGACAGTCTTGCTGTTGCCGAGGTGGAGTTCAAAGTTGGGACCCTTCTGTGTCAGCCTCCTAGTGTGCTGGGATTACAAGCATGCACCATTATACCTGGTGACAAAATAACTTCTTAAGCCTTGTAATAATTTGATAATATTTAAGATATTTTGTTTCTCAATCATATATCAAAAATAGTCCTTAAAAAGAAACCAGTATGGAAGACCCTCTCCCTAAGGATGGACTTTCATTCTTAAATAAACTTTTGCATTGTGTATCTTAAAAGTTCATGCCTGTTTGAAATAGAATTTCTAAACTGAATCTCACCATAGCTTTTTGGGATCAGCTCAATGATTGTGTTAATCCTGTATTCCTAACTAGCTGCTGGCATGGAAGCTCAGGGCTCAATAAGAGTATTACCCACAACTTGCCCCCAGTTGCCAAGTCTGATTGTGAATCAAGCAGAAATTCAAACCAAGGAGAGATAAGTCTCTGGAACATGCCACAAATACCCAGCGCACCTCCTGCCATCTCCCTTGTTGGCATTTTTGAGGTGTGGACCCATAGAAGAAGAGCACATGGCTGCCACTGAACTGTTTTTAACCTCAAAGATGAGCATTTCCGAATGTCAGTTGTCAAACATAAAAGTTTATTTATTTGCTTTTCATTGCATTGGATATGCTTGTTGCATGCTCAAAACCTGTGGGTCAGAAACAAAGACTTTTATGAGTGAAAATCACCATTGGTAAAGAGAAAAATGGTGCTTTCCAAATATTTTATATCAGTGTGTGTGGATGACAGGAAACTCCAGTGCTGAGGTGGGCTCTGGACAGGGTAGAGCGAGAGATGGAATTCAATGACTTTTTCAACCCTGAGAGTGATTTTCTTGATTAAAAGTTTGTTTTAAAAAGCCCTTAATGTATTACATGAGCAGGAAATGGGGAACCAAGACTTTACTGAGTACAGTCCGGACACCATTCTGGGTTCCTTGCAGTAGGTACTGCCAAAAGGCTTTGCCTAAAATCTGCTTGTGATTCATCTCTTCTTTTTCTTTTTTATGATGCTGAACCAGAGGGTGAAAAGATAAAGGATTGCATAGTCTGGCACGTGAGCGCTTCCCCACTGCGTACTGTCGTTATGGGGAGGAAGTAGCAGCCGCCAACCGCTGTTTTATTAATAATGAGGCATTCACATAAATTCCATGCAAAATTGATTTTTGACTGTTATATAAGAATCAAATACCAGGCTTTAAAAAGTAATTGAGAAATCTATTTGTAATTTACTTTGCCTATAAGAACCCGCTGTCCTGCCATAAACAATTTTACAGTATTTTCCCCCTGTTAAACAGCTATTTTTACACATCTGTTTGGCCTCTCTTATATGACATGCAGTCAGGAGGTGTAATGAATACAGGTTTGCAACAACATGTGGCCACAATCTCTTTCAGTTTCATCTTCAAGGGGATCTCTTGCAAGTTGTGACAGAATTTTCATCACGGTGCCAGTGAAGGATGTTAATGGCTAATTATCTGACCATGGCTGTTGATTGACAGATCATAAATCCACTCCTGGCAATAGTATAGCACAGTAATAGCTAAGCAACTGGGAAGAAAGAGAGAAAAAGAAAAAGGGTGAAAGAAAGAAAGAAAGAACGAAAGGAAGAAAGAAAGAAAGAAAGAAAGAAAGAAAGAGAAAGAGAAAAAAAGCTGAGATTAAAAAAAGAGAAAGAGAGAAAGGGAAGGAGGAAGGGAGAGAGAGAGATGAGACAGACAGAGAGACAGAGAGACAGAGAAACAACAAAAAAACCCAAACATACAAACCAAAATACAGTAAAGCCTTCGTTTGTGAGCAAACTCATTCTGGAAACATGCTTGTAATCCAAAGCACTTGTATATCAAAGCAACTTTCCCTGTAAAAAATAATGGAAAATTAGAAGATTTGTTCTACAACCCCCAAGTACTCATATGAAGATGATTGCAATGCAAAATCATAAAGGAAATACAAAATATATTGATAAGAAAATTAACTTGCACTTGCCTCTGAAAACCTTGAAGGCTGATGTGAGGGAGACAGGAAAAAGGAGGGTTACAGTGACAACTTTCAATATCAGTAATGGAATTGCTGCTCTCTGCTCTCTATTAGCTCAGTGGAATCTTTTTCTTGTGTGCAGGTTTAACAAGGACTTATTCAATGACAGTTATTTTTGCCTGCTTTTGGGGATTTTGCAGAAATGTGACATTGTATTGTTAAACAGAGCTGTCACTTGTACTGCTCCAGCCTTATTTGCGTGGTGTTTTCTACTACATTTTCACTATTTCCCACATTTTGCACATCTCCCTAACCTCATTTGAAGTCAGGGATCCTCTGTTTTTTTCTTCCTTCCTTCTCTGGAAACAAGATCTCTAACATAATATCAGTCCTGCAGGTGGAGAGAGAAGTGGTGAAAAGTAAGGAGGAGAGAAGAGAGGAGAAGAAGGGAGAGAGGAGGGGACAGGAGGAAAAGAGAGGAGAGGAACCAGGGCTCAGTTGTGAGCAGGTGCTACTCAGCATCATGTACTCTTGTCGAAGGACACTGTTCACTTATCAAGTTAAAATTTATTAGAAATGGTTGCTTATGACCAAAGTTTTACTGTAACCTTTTTCTCACTTCTCTTTAAATGCCTTAGGAAATACCATCATCAAATGGAAGTCACCTATATGAAAATTTCTCTGGGAACCTACTTAATGCTCAGTGGTTTTGAACACATTAAAGTCAAGCAAATTATATAAAGTCTGATTGCTCAATTTCTAAATGAGAGGGTCAAAAATTTAAAACAAATATCTAGTATCAAGAAAGCAATATTTTATACATTTGGCTTGATTTCTAAATTTCTTTCATTTTCTCTCTTTTTGCTTCTTTCCTTTTTTTCCCTTCTTTCTCTCTTCCTTCTTTTCTTTTTCTTTCCTTCTGTCTCTTTTTTTCATGGTGCCAGGAATTGGACCTGGGGTCTCATGTATGCCAAGCAGATGCTCCATCACTAAACTACACAACCAGTATTGTATTTCCTCAGGATTATTTTGCAAAAGTGTGCATACTTCTGTTCTTATTCCAGGGGATCTTTCTTTTTAAAAGGGATTTCAAAATCTTGGCACTTTAAAAAAACTCTATTCTTCATAGTTTTAGTGGGATATACTTTATGTAAGGTAAGATTGTAAGCGAACAGTTGAATGAATTTTGGTAATTGCATGCAGCTGTATGACCATTTCCATCACCCTAGAGTTCTCCTGTGTCTCTGCAGTTAACCTGTTCCCTCAGCTCTTTTCTAGACTTCTGTATAAATGGAATCATATTATGTGGACCTTTGTTAAAACTTTTTTTTTTTACTTAACATGATTTTGATTTTAAAATATGTTGTTGAGTGTACTCACGTTTTTTATTTTTAGGATTGAGTAGAATCCCATGGTATGGGTAATAACAAGTTGTCCATTCACTAGTTAATAGATACTTGGGCTGTTTACAGTTTTTAATCTGTTACAAATAATTTTAGAAACATGCATATAAAGATTTTTTATGTGGCCATGCTTTTATTTTCTTAGGTGACTATCTATGAGTGAGATTCCTAGGTCCCATGACTTGTGAATGTTTATCTTTAGAAGCAAGTGTGCAGCCTTGTGTCCTGACCCAGGCAATGTATGAACGTCCTACCCTCTCCTCACTTATTTGAAATCTTCCTCCTTGCTGATACTTAGTATTGTCATGTGTGGTAAGTGGTTCATTGTGGTTTTAATTAACATTTTACTTATAATTTGTGATACTGAACGTGTTTTTATGTGCTTATTCACATTTATGTATCTTCTTTTGCCCAATATCCATTCAAATATTTTTTCTAATTTTATTGGGCCAGTTCCTTCTTATGGAGTTGTAAGAATATTTCATATAGTCTAGATATAGGTTTTTATTAGATATGTGCTCTTCATATATTATTGTAATCTTTGGCTTGCTTTTTGTACTTTTAGTTTTTTAAGAGTAAAATGTTTTTAATTTTGAAAAATCCATTAATATTTTTATGAGTTGTATATTTTATGTTCTGTGTAAGAATATTTTTCCTAAGTAATGTTATAGACATTTTCTCTTACATTATCTTACAGAAATTTAACAGTATTGACTCTTATCTTTAGGCCTATGCTCTATTTTGAACTTAATTTTTGTACATATTTTCAGGAAAAGTAAAGGTTAAAACTTTCCCTGATGGACTCCCTGGGTCAGGACACAAGGCTGTACATTTGCTTCTAAAGAGAAACATTCACAAGTCATGTGACCTAGGAATCTCACTCCTAGATATTACCCAAGAAAATGAAAAAATGTTCTTGTACCATTTTGCTGATTTTTCCCGTTTAACATTTTGGTCATCTTTGTTAGAAATCAGTTAAGCATAGTTCTATTTCTGAACTCTCTATTCTGTCTTTTAACCTTATTGTTATTTTAAAAAAATTGCTTGGTTGTTCTAGAAAGACTTATTTTATTTATTTATGCAGTATTGGTGATCAAACCAAGGCCTCATGTATGTCAGGTGAACACCCTTCTTAGCTACATTTCCAGTTCTTGGCTACACTCTAGGTCTTTTGCATTTTTGTATAAATTTTAGCATCTGTTTTCCTGTTTTTTCAAAGAAGCCTGCTAGGATTTTGATTTGGATTGCAATGAATTAATAGATTAATTTTAAATGATTCATTTTCAAATATTAAATACATTTAAAACTATTACTAAAATTACAATTCAAACAATATTTACACTAAACTATGATGTAGACAACGTTAACACACTGGAGGAAATTAACATGTCACTGTGTACAATCATGTTAACTAGAGTTTTTGAAGACAGCAGAAAGCTTTTTCTGTCATCTCTGTTTAATCAAGGTGTGGGCTGAAATCACAAATCACTGTTAAAAGACATTATCATTTTGCCTCTATTCATGTGTGTGAACTGTGATATTTTTCAATTCTGTGCAATCTAATCAAAATATTGCAGCATTAGAATGGAAGCAGGAGAGAATATCCATGTTACAGCTGTGTTCATCAAGACAACTTCATTATCTCATTAGGTTGACTGTAATAAGTACATTTTAAAATTCAAATGCTCAGAAATTTGCACTAATCAAACTTATTAAAACTGTGCTGCTATGTATTTCAGTGAATACAAGTACTTGATAGGTTAGAATAGAAGTCGTATACTTTAGCAGAGAGAATCAGAACAATAGAAACTTGAGTTTAAATGGTAGCTTCCTGCCTAAGTAGCTTATGCAAATTCCCCATGTTTTTGAGTCCAACTTGCCAGTTTGTAAAGTGGAGATAATTATGCCTGCTTCACAGGTGTAACATAATCAAATTTTATACGCAAAACACCTGGCACATACACAGTGGATGCGTCAGAAGTTGATAAAAGGGCAAAACATAGATGTTGCAGTATGATAAAATTTCAAAGGGCCTGGTGACTGCTGTAATATGTTAAATGCCAAGTAGGAGGTTTGCTTACTCTGTGCATGGCTTACCTGAGATGGTGCGCCCTCTCTGATCTTGGGTGTCTAACAGTAATTTATGTACTATATCCTCACAAATGTGCAGAGTGAAACCTAACCATCACAAGCAATGCTCCAGTGGGCAGGTATGAGGTTGGACTGATAGTAGCATGTCTGGGTATCTTTTCATAAGACCTCACTTCTCAGATGCTTCCAATTGTGAGGTGTTTATTATACTGAGTGCTCTTTAAATGCAGTGTCTGGACATTGGCCTTGGTGCACTGAAACATATTTCCAGTTTTCTTCTGATTTTACTTTTGAATTCTGATCAGCACAGGGATCTCAGTGAAGGGTCAGCCTGTGACTAGCATGTGTACCTTTTTGTCCTTGGTTGCTGATGCTCCACAGTGCCAGTGCCTTAAAATGTGGGACATTTTGAAAGGGAATGAACAGGCATTGGGAAGCCTCTCTCTTGACTATGAACTCAGACCAGTTCCCAAATCTCAGTTTCTGCCTTAAAGAAATGCCTGGCATACTCAAGGAGCATTTATAGGGAGTTGTATTAGAAATTGCATGGGGAATGTGCTTTGCCAAATATGAAGTAAATCCTATCTTTGTTGTAAAATGATGCATCTGATACCTCTGTCCAGTTTTTCTCATTTTCTACAGACACCAGAGTCCCAGGAAGTTTAGTTGCATCGAAATTCTCTGACTTGAGTGGAATTGCTGTAGGATTGATACAAATACACACAAAAAGTGATAGATACAAACACACACACACAAAAAGCTAGAGCCATACCTTCCGTGAGTTGGACAATCCCCAGTGGTTATCTATCTAAGTACTCACATAGTGGAGGTTACAAATGTAAACACCAGAGCTTCAACAAACAACAGCAGGCTTCTTATGTCATCTGCTCTAAATATCAGAGATGCACATATTTTGTAGTGCATCTACAAAGCCGAGGGAAAATCTGGGCTAAAAGACTTCCTGATGCATTGGAGGCCAAAATCCTAGAAAATAATTTAGAATTTAGAAAATATTTAGAATTAGAAAATATTTAGAATATTTTTGGTTTCTACTGCATATTACATATATAAGAGATGGTTTCATAGATAGAGGAAAATAAATACTACATTTCTAATTTTTTGAACAAAGCTACTGTTTCATCATTTAAAGCAAGTAATGGTTAGGGTTTCACAGAAGTGAAATAAAAAGTCAAAAAGTCTTGGGTGGACTAGACAAGCTGAATTTTACAGATTTGTTTTTGTTATTGTCATTTTACTTGCTTATCAAATTTTACTAATTCATATCCTATGGTACTAGCACCTGCCAAATTGCTGTACCCTGAAATCTAGTATACAACTGAGGAATGAATAAACAGGATGTGACATATCCACATTGTGGAATATTATTCA